TATCCCCTTACCTCTTTCATTTGCCTACACATTTTCAATAGCTCAAGTCTGGTCTGTAATTTCCTTTGTGATCCCTTCAGTCCCTGAAGGCCAATTATGTCCTTTTATGGACAAAGAAAAAAATCTTGAGGGCTAATTAAAATACTCTATTTAGAAAAAAATACAGATACAGCTATAAATAGATATGTATGTCTGAGATCCTTTAATTAGCATTGTTTTCTTCAGAGAAGCACTGAGTGTTTCTACAAACAGAAATCGAAATTCGGTTCTTGTGCTTTAAATGAGAGAACTGTTGAACCTCTGCAGCCCTAAGGCCTCAAACTTACATTTTTACCTTTTCTCACCTAACCACATGACTCCAGAAACTCACCAAATATCAAAAAATCTTCAATAAAATCATAAGCGTTGATGACACTGAACCTATGGAATAAGGGTGAGCTTGAGATCAGAGTCTCATAGCTACCACCTAGACGCAACTCACCTTTTGAAAAGGAAAATCTATCTGGAGAAACAGAGTGTTAGCCAGACTCAAAATATAGCTTGTGTCTAACTTTTTCAGCTCGGAGAGGAGTGTGTGGAACTCTCTGTGAATCCCTCCGACCAACCTGCACCGTGAAGGAGAAGGCTTCAAACAAGATAAGAATAAAGATTATTTAGTATCAGTTTGGTAACTAATACGTAATGAAGTTAAGCTAGTGCTGATTGTTATTATACTGCTATGGGAATATCTAAGCCTGAATCTAAATGTGTGTTAGGACCTGATCCTACTTCTCCTGAAGGCAATGGGAGTTTTGCAGGATAGGGCTTCAGTCAATAACAGTAAACTCCATGACAGGCATTTTCTAAAACTATGGTCTGGCTTACTGAATACGATCTTTTGTATGGCATCAGATATCAACTTCCAAATCTATGAGCCACTCTCTGCTATTATCACCAATAGGCGGATTCCATCTACCCTGTCTGGGCATTTGTAAAGACTGTAGCTTTTGATTAAGTGCTGTGCTGTTTTTTCAGCACCGCATTCACACAGGGGGTTGATCAAGATGTTCATCTTGTGAAGTGTTGTTCTGAAGCATCCATATCTGGATCTCAGTCCATTCAGCTTAATTCATGCTTCTCTGTCAAGGTTGTGCCCAATAGGGGACTCTTTTGCTATAGATATAAATGCTGTAAGAATGGGGCTGATCTTGCCCAGTGGTTAGCCCACTCCATTGCTACCCATTGGTTCAGCATCCCCAGGCTCTTCCAGGAGCTTGTGGCCGTCACATACAAATGGTTTATGACTTGTAAGCCTCTGAGGTTTCCATCTGTTTGTGTCATCAGTTAACAGTTGATGGAGCAGCTGATTTTTGTCATCTCTTGCAGGAACGATGTTAGGGCCTGTCTTCTTATACCACTTAGTCTAATGCCTGAGAGTACAGGCAGTACATCTGTGTGTAAATTGTGTAGCTTGTGATTTAATGTGATCATTGGGGCCAGGTAGAGATATTACACTGTTACCAGTATAAGTGATCAGAAACTGGTCCATATCTGTAACAGAACAGAAGTTTGGCATGCACAGACTGGTTTAAAAATGACAGAACCCAGTCTAAGATTTGCTCCCCCCTCCATCAAAGGGCAAATATGTGTTCTGTTTGCTACCAATATAAACTATGCTGCTTACAGAAAACTGTGTAACTTAGATCAATTCTGCCTCAGGCTTTTTCTTTGTCTGTACCTTGCCTAAATGTCTCAAGTGCCCAGCCTGCAGTACCCCATACAGTTACGAACATATTACTGTAGCCTGTTCTGGAGACATACCTTTGGGAGGGAAGGGTATGGCTGATACTCGCTTTCACTGTGATGCTCCAGCGCATTTCCTTCAGCCCCGCATTCAGAACAAGGCCCAGCCATAGGCTCTGTGCTTCCTGCAGCTCTGTTGAAGTGAAGCACCTGCATTTGAAATTGTAGTTTTATCAATGGGTTACACGTGGCATACATAGATTACACGCAAAGGGTAATGTTGGAGTGCTGTTGTAACCATGATGGTCCAGAAAATATGTGAGAGGCAAGGATTATGCGGGTGCTTATCTTTTATTTGACCAGCTGTGTTAGTCTTATTAGTTGAATTGGTGCAACAGAAGAGATGCTATTAAATCTCTGACCCCTGAGGCATTATTCCCAGAGTATAAATAGATGTCTCATTTCAGTTGGTCCTAATTGATCTTTGTCAAAACTTGGGCCAAGAGAGGAGTGGCACAGCTAGGCCAGATTTAGGGGGAGTACAGTAATGTAGTTGCACCCCTCTTTGATTCCCAGTCCACCCAAAGTTTAAAAGTAACTGGCTGACAGTGGTAGCAGCACTGATTCATGTAGCAGTGAGGGAAGCACTTGAGTTCATGGCTTATTGCAATCTGATTCTTTCTAAGCTCCTTAATGACCTTCTTTTCTTTTCTTTTTTTAAGTAGGCTCGATGTTCCACTAATCAAATAATTCTTTCTTCTGTGATTCTGCTAGTAGCTCCTATTTCACACCCCAGAAGGTTGTTTTTAACTCTAGTTAAAAACATCAACTCATGGGTGGAAACATTAACTCTGGTGAACATCAGTTCAGGTGTAGAAATAACTTTCAGAGAAGCATTGGATGAATTGTCAAGATGCTAAAGAAGTCTTAGTTTTGTTTTATGACTCTGAATGAGTCAATTCTAATGACTGCAGGACTAAAGAAACAACGTTTTAATTGATTTTTACCTAGTTTGTAGTGTTTTTATACATATCATAGGCTATAGCAAATTAATACACATTCTAATAAAGTTATATTTGTTTTTCCTTTATCTTAAACTGGATAACGTAGCCCTTAGCTCCTAGCACAGGGATGGGCAATTATTTCAGCTGGAGGGTCACCTAATGCATTTTAGTGAGCTCTCAAGGGCTGCAAGGGTAATCCCACCCCTTGACAGGTGACTGGCCCTGGTTGTTATCTTAGAACCAGAAGTCCTACCCGCTAACCACTAACCTTTGCTACCAGAAATCCCTCCCCTTGCCCACAGAAGTACTCCTTTTGGGAAGGGGGTCGGGGGTTGCCATCTTGGAACCAGAAAAAAACCAAACCATATACTAAAAGTCAAACATTTACTGTAAGATGTTTTAACTGTATTTCAAAAAATATTTTTGTTATGATTTGTGTTGCATAGTGTATATAGAAATGATTGCATAATAGCTACAATGTAAAGTCTTACTCTTGTAGATTATGTGTGGGGAAGCATGTGTGTTTATGGTGGGGTGGGTGAGTGGGGTGGGTGGTTGTGTGTGGGGTTTGTAAGAGGGTGTTGCTATGGGTCAGGGAGATATAGAGTATGCCGCAGGGTGTGTGTTTATGTGGGAGTTATGGAGGCAGTGTGTGGCTGTGTGGGTTGTGAAGAAACATGGCAGGTGGGGACCACCACACACTACCCCACATAGCACACAGCCCCTGCTGCTGGTGGCAGCAGCAGCAGGAAGGGGCCCTTGGGGTACTTGTGGCCCAGGCAGGTACTGCTGCCCAGTGGTGTGTGGCTCCAGCAAGTTCTGGGAGCTGCATGGCAAGGACTGGAGCCAGGTTGGCCCATTTCTATTGAGTGGGACTCCTTGCAGTGTACATGCAGCTTCTGCCATTTGCACGTCACTGGGTGGAAGCCCCATGTGATGGAGCCACCTGCCTTCCCCACTCTCTGCTGCCATGTGCAGCTGCTGGGACTCCACTGGAAGTGGCAGGGCTCTGCTCCTTGTTGCCATGTGCAGCTCCCAGACCTGGTGGGAGTCGTGCACCACTGGGCAGCAGCGCCTGTGCAGGCCACAAGCACCCCAAGGGCTCCCGCCTGCTGCTGCTGTTGCCACCAGTGGCAGGGGCTATGTGCCATGGGGTGGAGGGGAATGTAAAGAGGTACCCCACACTCCCCCACCCTGCCTCCCACCCACACACTCACACCGACACCCACACCCTGCCCACTCAAGTTCCTGAAGGCAGTGATGTACCATGGGTCTCTGGCACTCGGGGGCCAATGCCACCCCCACACCCTATCCTTCTCATAGCAGTACTTAAAGTCACCGTACACAATAAGAAATCTGACAGGCCCAGCTGGCACCATGCCTCCCCCCAGGCCTGCGCCCGGGGGCCATGGCCTCTTCCTTCTCCCCCCGCCTCATCAGTCTGCCACTGCCTAAAGGCAATGGGAGTTTTGCAGTGGGAAGCTGAGCGGGTCCCTTAGCAGCTGCAGCAGTGGCAGCAGCAGCCCCACCTGGAAGCTGTGCATGCTGGCTGGGCTGGGCCCTTCCACCTATGAGGGTGGGAGTGAGGTGTACGGGTTGGGCAGGGTACAATTAATTGGTGGGTGCCTGTGGGCCAGATGAAATTGCCTGGTAGGCTGGATCTGGCCCATGGACCATATTTTGCCCACCCCTGCGCTAAAATATTAGTAAAGCTTCTAGTTTCTTTTTACTGGGAGAAAAATATGTGTTGTCTCATATGTGATGATACAGGCCACCATCTGCTCCCTCTTTTCAAAATCCTAGCTCCACCCACAGCCACAGCCCTTTGCATTTTTCCAAGCTGCATTGCTGTTCCTCTGCCAGTAGGTGGTTAGGGAGGGCCCACAGCCTGACAGACTGGAAATTAACTTGAATGCTGTGCTATTAACCTACAGAGATGCACACCATTTTCCTGGGGACAGATACTTAAAAGTAGACCAGGGGTTCCCAACCTTTTTATGCTGTGGACTGGCAAACCGTGGACCGGAAGTGACTGCTGACCAGCAAACTGCAGACCAGCAGTGACCAGCATACTGTGGGCCAGCAGACAACCCTTTTCTATACTGAGTATAAAATACTGAGTATAAAAAAGGGTTGGCTGCTGGCCCACAGTATGCCGTTCACTTCTGGACTTCCGGTCCGGCAGCCAACCCTCCTGCGAACTGACAGCCAATCCTTCACGGCCCGGTGCCAAGCCACAGCCTGGGGGTTGGGAACCCCTGAGCTATACAATGGACTCATAAGTTTGTAGGATCCTGGGGGAAAAAAGGCTTCCTCCCAGAAGAAATGCAACACTGGTTTTCACCCCTAGTGAACCTGTTTCCAACACGTAACCAAAAACTCACTTTCCCAGAAACCTTCCCCAAGTTTTAGTTCCTCTTGTAACAAGCAACCCCTCTCTCCCAGAAGAACTGAAGGAGAGCAAAGTCAACTGACAAATAGGCGACTCTGGAGTGATTCATTTGATTATCTGTCAACATTTTCAAACCTGAGGGGCTTAAAAGTCAGAATTTATATTTTAATATGGAAATGAAAGATGCTTGGTTTTGCAGAGAAGTCTGTAGGTTCTCCTGACTTCCATGGAAAGTGTTCAGCACATTTGGAAACCAGACGACTTTCATCCCTAAGTTCTCATCAAATATGGATCCTTCCTCTCATGACCATGCTACTATTTAAAGGCTTAATTTTCAGAGTTAGAGACCTCCTTCCTCCATGTTCAGTGCCCCAGGATAGAACGAGGATGGAGTCTGCCAGTGCAGAGGCTGGGGGAGGCGGGGGAGTAGAGGCTGGGGAAAAGGCAGTCACAATCAGGGGGTAAGCTTCTTGACCTCCCCAAGCCACATGCCCCCCACCCACTGCCTGCCCCCCTGCAGCAGTGGGAGGGATGAATTAAAGACAACCCTCTGATAATTAGATTCCATACATGGAAAATTAAAACAAACTCATACATTTTCCATGTATAGAATCTAATTATTTTGGGGTTATCTTAAATTTAGGGTCATCTTGGATTTGCATAAATGTGGTAAATAGCCCTTGTTCTATGCCACTGAGTTTGACTTACGGTATTAATCCAGCTCCATAGGTAGGTGACAGAAATCATGATGTAGCAAGTATAATTTTGCAAAATCTTCAGTCACTGCAACTTCCTATGAAATTCTCATATACAATTGTGACATGATTTCTAATAGGCATGTAAAGAGAAGTAAGAGGAATATAAAAGCCTCTCAGTGCATGGTACTACTTACTTTTTCCATCTGTGCTGCAGTGTTACCTTTGGCCCCCAAGGAAACCATGGCCAAGGCAACTGAGATACTCACAGGTGAGAAGAAGATGTTTTTCTTAGGATCAGTTTTGTTTACCTCATGGAAAAGATCAAGGCAAAATTCAGCAACTGATTTAGAAAGAGATCCCATTTTGAAGTCAAGAGCTGCCTGCAAACAAAAAGGAAGAAATAAAAAATTAAACATGACACATTGCTTGATGGTGTGACAATAAATCATGAGTTCAGCTGAGCCTGTATGGCTGTTAACAAACAGAAGCTCAGTAAATTCTGTGCTCCACACAAAGAAACTCAACTCTTGCTCATCCTAGAAAACCACCCATCGCCAATAGCCTTCCTCATTTCATACTTCCTCATTTTCCAGTAGACAGCTCTAATTTAGGAGGAAGAACGTACCTGGAGCTGGAGAACTGTACTACGTCAGCCACTGAACAGTATCTGTTTGCCTGATACAGGCAGGGCCATCCCAAGGGGTGGGGGGCAAATTGGGGTGACTGCCCTGGGCCCCATGATTTGGGGGCCCTGCAGAGCCAGGCTGCTTGCCACCCCCTCCATCCCCACCACTGCCCTCGCATCCAGGCCCCACACAGGCTGATTTGGCCCAGGCCCCATACCCTGCTATGGTTGCCTCTGGATACAGAAGTCAGTATTTCTACCTTCCTAAAAGTTAGTCAAGCAGGTAAAAATCTTTGAACGAGCCGTTGCAGATTTAGTCCTTCTGATAGGTCAGAATATAAAGAAAGGACTAATGTTAGATTAATTTATCCTAATTTTAATTATATTAGGAAAGAGTAGTGTGCTTATACTAATTATTATTGTTATGGTAGAGATAATTAGTCACATGATTAAGGAAAAATAAATAGCTCCATTACTATCTCTAGAAATGAAAACCATGGGCTAAATGGCCCTAACAGATTTATGAGGCAATAAATTTCACTTAATTAACTACTTCTCCCTCTTTAATGAAGACTATCCTATACTCAGAAGCATGAATTGCTTTAAATATCCCCACTTATAGGGAAAACCAGGCCATAAAGCTTCTGTTTGGTAGCAAGACAAATATATAAGTCCATTAGAGCAGTGGTCTCCAAAGTGGGGTGCGCGCACCCCAGGGGGTTCGCAAGACAATCAATTGGGGTGTGGGAAGAAAATATTAGAACTTCTATTTATATTTATTTTTTATCTAAAAAAATAAGAAAGAAATTAAGCTTTATTAATATTTAATATATGGATTGACACTGGCGCCCTCACTCAGTCCGTATGTCCAATGGTCTCGTGTCACGTACGGTACGCGAGGTATCCTGAGGGAAGAGTGGGAGTTCCACAACACAGAGGGGTTCACAGTGGCGCCCTCAGTGGTGCCCCCCAATAAATATAAATATATTGGGGGTGCGTGCTCAAAAATTTTTTACTGATAGGGGTGCATGATCAAAAAAGTTTCGAGACCATTGCTGTAGAGGATCTGTATGACTGCCTGTATTCTTCCCTGCAGGTTCTTAATGTTCACTGTGCTGGATCAGACCTTCTCGGTTCTCAGACCAACTTCTAACTGGGTCTTGAGGTAAGCTCCTAAACCATCTATTCCTAGCTTCTAGAGCAGGGATTCTCAATCTGTGGGGTGTCTATTATGGAGACGTGCAAGGGTCATCCAAAACATACACCAGAGAAATAGGAGTCACTGCTAGATGAATAAGGGACGCACGCGCTGAAGCATTGCAGAAAATGCTTGAGAAGCCAAGTGCACCTTTCCATCTACTTTCTGCCACAGTGATAACTAACACTTGTCAAACCTGCTACCAGAGTAGTTTTAGTTGGTGGGATCTTGCTTGCTGTGGCTATACAGATAGGCCCTGTACAGGCTTTGGCACTTAGCTGGCTGCCTTTCTGCTAGGCTGAGTTTTTGCACTGTGCCTCACAGCCCGAGTGACTGAGGGGAACCTGTAAACTACCTCTTGTCCATAAAGACAAACATATACAGGGCTGGTTCAGAGTGTTGCAGACCTGCAGTCATGGGGAACGCTGAAAGCAGAGGAAGCCTGTCAGGCCCAAATCAAGCCTAGCCCGAAGAGGCTTCTGGGAGGAGGCCAACCTGACACCCTGAAAGGGGGTCAGTTTCGCAGAACCCAGAAGCCATCATGACCTAATGCAGCCATAAAGGGGCAGCCATGAAGACCCATGCTAACATGGGATATAGCATGAAAAACCAGCAAGAGGAACAAAGGTTTAATAAATATCCCTTGAAGAAGGGAGAAATCCTTGCCCTACCTCCACTCTATCCACAGGGATAGCATGGTCTCTAGAAACTAGAGGAAGGAGCTGATAGCTGGGCATTGTTTATAGAAACAAACTTTAAAAGGGACTGTCTGGGATGTAGCTGTTATTTTTTCATGGTACAAAAACAGACGCCACCCAGAATGATAGCTGTAGAAGCTGCAGTTGAAGATGCTAGGGTTATTTATTTCCCTGGCAATCCAGAAACTGGAGAGATTTTGTGCTCCTGCTGGAAAGCAGGTGGATTTTATTAGTCTCGCTTTGCCTAAATTTGTGGGTGAGGTGTATTTAAATGACCTGCAATCATACTTCTGTGTTAAATCAATGAGAGTCTCCCTGTAATGGAGGACAGAATGAGGCATGTGGACAAGGACACCTAGAAATAAATAGGCAAGGCATGTGGACAAGGACACCTAGAAATAAGGCAAGAAGTTGAATGTATTTTTAAAAATAACCTGGAATGGAAGGAAGAAAAAAGCATGCGGTGTAAACGAGCAGTTGGGGGAAGGGCCAAGCTCACAAACTTTCCTCGGAAATCAAGCCGTGTAACGTTAATGCAATAGGCAAAGCAAACACCATAGCAATAGTGTGGGGGAGAGCTAGCACCTCTATGCTTTTCATTATTATTGATGTGAGTTAGTGATACTGTAATGGTGGGTCTGCAGATTTTAAGATAGCCAGGAAGACAAGGAGTGCCAACTGCTGATTTATGGGAGATGAGCAAGTAGCTCAGTAAACAGTAAAGGAGGAGGAAAGAAGGGCTGGATATTTGGAGACATGCAGACTTCTTTATTGAATATAATTGCATAATTAATAAGCATAAAGAAAGTAGGAATACATTATCCATGATTCCTCCTGGACATTTGTGTTGCATCAGTCTATTCTGTTTCCGCCATCTGGTCTCATTAAGGCTCTTCCATCACTCCAAAGATTTTTACAAATAAAGGAAGGAGGAATTTGTAGATACAGGATACTTATATGGTTCCTATTCCACAGAGAGCACAAAGCAGAAGTTGAAAGCTCTATTTTGAAAAGTGATGGTGGGTGAGAGTCATTTATGGAAGTTATTGGCAAAGCATTCACCAATTCATTTTGCATGAGTATGCATTACTGAAATTCTAGCAGCCTGAATTCTTTATACAGGTTTGTGAAAACTCAAAAAACTTCTTTGTTGCAAAATGTCAGGAAAGAGTGTTGTGTTGGCATGCGTTTTAGGTTTGCATAAAGTTAAACGAAGCAGGATAAACACATCTACCCATCTGTACATGGGTTCCAGGCACCTGCACCCCTGTTGCCTCGCTTGTCAGCCAGAGAAACTGAGAACTAGGACAACTAAGGCCAAATTTTCTAGGGTGGTCATGACTGAGTCTTTCTTATTCTGAGCATCTAAACTCTGAGATGTTGGGCACTTCTACCCTGCATCATGAATCCTCCTTTGCCCACTTATTCCCTTTTTGTATGAGTCAATCCCTGAAATAGATGTAGCTACTGCAACCAAAGAGCATCCCAGAGTTGCTGGGTACCTGGAGGTGCAACTGACTTAATTTAATTGTAACAGCCACACACACTTGGGGTTATGTGTGGTCGTGTGCTCTGGTTTTATTTTGCTGTGTATCTTAGAATCATAGACTCATAGAAAGAAGGACTGGAAGGAACCTATAAGATCATCAAGTCTGGTCACCTGCCATGAGCAAGAAGTAATTGGGTTCAAACAAGCTCAACAAGGGATTTATTAGGGGTGTGTGAAATGGGCTGTATTTGATTCGGATTCGGCCTGAATTGGGGACAGTGATTCGACTCATTGATTTGGATCACTGCCCCTGATTCAATTCGGCCGAATCCGAATCTGAAGATTCAATGCTGATTTGGAGAATCAGGGATTGGGACATAGACACAGCTTTAAATGTTTTTTCTACATACCTCGAGGTACCAGGTACAACTTGTGAATGCTACGATGCTGGGGCAGATGAAGCATCCCACAGAAATGCAGGGGGGGCCCTGTGTGGTCAGCAGTGAACCCAGAACTGGACCAGAAGTACTTCCGGTCCACTTCCAGGTCTGCCCGAGGACTGCACTGGGGGGTCCCCCCAAACCCAGGAGGCACCAGTCACCAAGCTGGGAGGAGGCACAGGGCCCCCCCGCGCGTTCCTTGGTGGACCCAGAAGTGGACTGAGTGCACTGGGGAGCCCCCCATGCTCCTGTAGTACGCTCCATCCGCCCCACCACTGCAGCGTTGATGAGCCGCCTGGTACCTTGAGGTATGTAGAAAAAATATTTAAAACTGTGCCTATGTCCAAATTGCTGAATCTTTCCGAATCTCTCCGAATCGATTTGGAGGGTTCCAATTCAATGTGGAGAGATTAAAGGGTCTCCTGATTCAATTTGGATTCAGAGATTTGGCCACCAAATCAAGAGGAATCTCCTCCAAATTGAATCAGGGACCGAAGGTTCTCACAGCCCTAGTATTTATCCAGCCCCCTCTTAAAGACCACTAGAGATGGTGACTGTACCACCTCTGCTGGAAAAGTGTTTCAGATTCTAGTTACCCATACAGAAAAGACGTTTTTCCTTATCTCCAGCCGAAACTTTTCCTTGACTAGTTTGTGTCTATTGGTCCATGTCTTCCCTGGGAGGCTTTTCTAAAAAGTTGTTCTCCTGGGTCCTGGTGTTCTTCCTTGACATATTTGTAGGCAGCTAGCAAGTCACCTCCCAGCCTTCTTTTGCTCAGGCTGAACAGTCCCAGATCCCAAAGTCTCTCCTCATAGGGCCTGTCCCCCAGGCCCTTGATCATGTGGGTGGCCCTTCTCTGCACCCTTTCGAGCTTGTCCACATCCTTCTTAAAGTGTGGTGCCCAGAACTGGACACAGTACTCCAGCTGTGGTCTCACCAATGCCAAATAGAGGGGGAGAAGCA